AGCAGCAGCAACAGCAACAGTTTCAGCAGCAACAGCAGTGTCAGCAGCATTCTGTCCCATCACGCTACACTCATCACCATTATTATCATCATCATCATCATCATCATCATCATCATCATCATCATCATCATCATCAGAAGCAGCAGCAAAAAAACAGCAGCTTTAGCATCCTACCTCGCTGCACCCAAGCCTTTCACTTCCGTCTTACCTGCAGTAGAAAACTGCTCTGCATTTCTTGCACATGAATCTCGATCGCTCCCCACACCGGATACACGGCTTGTGTGTTCCCTTTGGGCTGGCCAGCGGGTTGACATCCGTATGTGTCACGTCCTCGATCATTATGATGTTATTATACTCTTGGTTTTGCTGTTTTTCTTGCTGTTGGTGATATTCTGCTGTTTTCTGATGTCACTTTTGTTATTCTAATAGCTGTCCTTTTACTGTCGTATTTTTTTCTCTTGTTCTTATATACTTCTTCCCTGACGTTCGGCATTTGAAGAAACAGAAAGAGCAGATAAAAATGAATAAGGAAATAATAATGTACTTTAACGATGTTGATCTACACTTTCTTTGGAAAGTAAACAACCTCAGTGATTTTCAACACACACAAAAACTCTCGGAAACGATAGCAGACGTTCCAGTTGAGGAGCAAGGCGTTGCACTTGATTTTGAAAGGGCCTGAGTTCGATTCAGGGCTCTGTCGGGAAGAACGTTGTTGTACCCTTCCGGAATGGTTCTTTACTCTGTTTTCTTATTACAAGCCCCAAGTAAAATGGGAATTTGTCAATCAACAGAAGATGTGTATGAAAATGATAGTGCTATTCGCCAAACAGGTTGCGGGTTCGTGAGTTCGAGCCTCAGGTCGGTCCGACGTTGAGTCCTTGGGAAAGGGACTTTACACACTAATTTCCTGTTTGGCTCGGTCCTTTCTGATAAGGGCGTTAAACATATACCATTTTACCTTTTTTTCTAACTGGTTGCAACACTGCCTGTCGGTCAGTGATATTTTTCTTTTCATTGTTTTTTCATTATTTTTTTGTGTGTGGGGCATGGTTATTAGAAATGGACAGGCCGACCGCAAGAGTTATTGTGACGTTGTGGAAGCCTTCATGACTACAAAAGGTTTCATTTTCTTTAAGTTGAGTATTTGACACCACCAATTATGTTATCTTATTATTATATTGTGAATTAGCGGAAGCTACTACAGACAAAGTTTTAACAAAACAGCTAATTATAGGTCTAACTGAAAAACCAATATTTCTATGAATGTCGGAGACTTTTAAAAAATGGTTCACCTCTTACATCCGCTCTATTCCTCTCTTTGTCTCTCTCTCTCTCTCTCTCTCTCTCTCT